AAGCATCCAAAGTGGCAGTCAACGTAAACTCAGCAACGCATGTCATCTTCTGCAGCCGCGTGCATTGCAACTCCCCTCAGCCGCCCGGTGCCTCTTCCTTCTTTGTGGACCCAAACCGCATAGTGCACTTTGATTTGCTCGGATCCTCCACAGGCTCGCATAACCGTGTCCACCATGCCCGCGCAGCTCGTGACTGCATCACTTCTCCGTCCACTTCTGCGGCACCGAATAGCGTGAAATAGGGATCCAAAACACCACATCCGCAAGGCAAAAACAAATGCATCGCTCCAACGAGTGCCCACTGTAAGAAATCACACGACAGCACACTATCTCTCGCTCTCCCATCAGCGACTTGCCGTCAACAACCACAACGGCATTGAGAAGCAGTCTCGGGGCAATCCCTGAGCGCCATCCCCCACCTCGGCGAGCGACCGACTCCGGGAACCCGGCACTCCAGTGCCGTTCCGGTGGGGACTCCTGCCACCGCCAACCGTGTTCCCCTGTCGCGTTGACACACGGAGCCCGCTTCAGAGAAACAACAACACGCTCCATTCAAAAAATGACTATGAGAGTGCATGGCAACAGGCGCAGGGCGCACCCTCTCAGTTCCCAGTGTCGACAAAGTAAAAGAGCATCACTGCCGACTTGCTGCAGCACGCACAGTTGTGCTTCTGTTGTCCTCCCTCGCGTTTTTTCAATTACATGGCCCGCGCTGCGGCAACGCGTGCCCCCAGACCTCTTGGTTTTTAAAATGTGCCCCAGCACAAAGCAGCTGTTCCGGACGCTGGTCGATGCCGCCAGCCCCGCGCAAACAACAAACATCCCATGAGGGAAGCATCGCTGGCTACTGGGCCCCCCGGCAATACGGGGGATTGGCCCTGCGCCACGCTCGGGCGGCCGGCGGGGAGCCGAAAGTCCGAACAGATATTCGGGCAAAGTAGAGGGGTTTGCGGCCGATAATGGCCCCGCGTTTCTATAGAGACCCCGGCGCCCTTCGCCGTGTTTTAGGGTCTTTTGCGCGGCGTGCTGTTGATGCCGTTTGTGGGTTTTGTTTCTAGAGGTTTTGTTTCTGTTGTCCCTTCTGGCTTGGATTTGAAAGGAAACACTGGCTGGGATTTGAAAGGAAACACTGGGGGGGTGGCGGGGGGGCTGCGAAGGCAAAGGGGAAAAGGGGCGAGGGAGGGGACCGGGGTGACAAGATGGATAACGCTTTGTGTGGGGTTTTCGTGTGCCATACCCGATTCCCTTTACGCTTTGGCGCTTTTTTAAAAGTCTTTTTTATTGGCAAGGAGATAATGGCGCTTTGTTTTGAATGGGCGCTTACCGGAAGCCGAAAGGGTGGCTTTGTGCAAGCAAGGTTTCCGTTGGACCTTATGATGCACGGTGTGCCTTGAGTATGGAGTTTTTTGGGTGCATTCACACAGAATTTCCTTTTGAATTAATTGGCACAATTGCAGCGAGGGAATTTTTCTGTTTGCACGAATGGCGTGCTTTTGTGGAATTTTTTCTGTTTCGATTTTTTGAACTCGCTCGATTTTTTCTGTAGATACTCGAAAAGAAAAAGGAGAAAGGTCAGGTTAATTTCTCGGTACTGAGTACTCTGTTTGTGGGTTTGGAAAGCTGTGCGGCAATGGCTTCAAACGGCTACACCTTGTGCGTTTTTGTTTGCTGCGGAAGGAGATACGCACTGGTTTTTTATGAATCATATCGGGTTGCCATGTGGTTCATGATGACTTTATCTTCCCACTTTTTTGATGGGGTTTGTTTATTGTTTTTGGCTCATTCAAAGAGATATAACAACCTACAGCCAATGGTGGTGGATGGGCTTAAGACCCCTTTTTATGCTTTACGAAACGGTGCTTGACATACACTTCTAAGCAACATATAGCGCGAAGCCCTTATTTAAATATCTGTTGTTTTACATTATTTCAGACTGATTTGTGGAGATATATCGTGTCAAAATCAGGGTCATAGGGGTTTTTTGGGGCGCTTTGAAGTTTGCCATTTTTTGCTCAAAGCAACATATTTATCAATAATACTTACTTTATATCGCATTAATAAAAAGTTTTGTATATTTTTTGAAAGTGTTACTTCCCCTCAAGCAAATAGCCTTAAGAATCAGATACATTTTACACATCATTTGGTCAAAAAAAGGGAAAATTCACAGTGTGGGTGCCGGGGCCCTTTATTTTTGTTATTTAGTTTTATAGTTTGTTGCTTCCAGTGAGATGAAAAAAAAAAAAAAAAAAAAAAAAAAAAAGAAAGAATTCCGCATATGTTGGCTTGTTTAATGGAAAATGGAGAGATGTGTTTCATGAATTCGGGGAACAACATACCTGTTAAAGCAATCTGAAATTCTAGCGAGGTGCTTTATGATATTTTTGAGGGGAGATTTTTGTTTCTTATGGGGGGCAGTAATTAAGAGTTCTAAGTAGGTTACGGTTAAAATAATAAGCGCTTTATGAAATATCATTTTTTAAAGAACTAATATTTTTCTGTTAACTTTTTTAGGAGCCATAAACAGAGAGTAACTATATTACCAACTAATTTTACAAGAAACCTTTTGCACCTACTAGTTTTTTAAATAAATAATACCAAATTCTAACTACCGATATCATATTAAGAAGTCATCCCATTTATACACGTTAAGAGAAAATGCAGTTTTGGCACCACTATTACGGTGATTTAAAAAACTGCCATATTTTAAATGGAAGCGATGTTGTTTATAAAACAAACACAATAAGTAACAAGAATAATTCTAATAACCGAGCATCTACCACTCTACAAAACAAAACAACACCAACAATAAGGAAAAAAAATTGAGTAGTGGGCTCTTATAGTTTTGGAGCCAAAGCAATGATGTTCATGAAAGAAGCAACTCCAGGAAGGACAAAGGATGGGATGGATGATCCCTAAACCACTTTTCTTAGAGTATGAGAAAAAACAAAAAGAATACATCAGAAAAGTAAGTTCCTTCTACGAAAAAAAATCAACATAAAACTCTAAGCAAGTCAAGGAGTTGATCGACACCAATTTTTTATAGGGGAATAAAAGGAATTGACCCGGCGGGAGGAAACAATTGAATGCAAATTCCCTGTACAAGAAATGGGGAAAAAGCATGTAATTAAAAAAGGTTTGATTTGTGTTACCAGAATACGAAAAAAGTAAAGGAAAACGCGGTAGAAATGCCCGCCACATAACATAAAAAAATGGAGGATAGCCAATACACCGTCAAAAAAGAGATGCGGAGCACGCGTTACGAGAACATTTTGATAGGAAGATGAAGTCAAAAAGGGCCAAAGGAAATAGAAAAGTAAATAAATAGAGGAATATCTGTGTTTGCTGTTGTTCATTTATTTTTGGTTGAGTTTTTTTTTTTTTTTTTTTTTTTTATCAATAACACAATTTTTTTATTATTTTCGTTTTGGAAAACGGGTGAGGGAGGACGGCGCTTTTGAAAAGGAAGCACGGAAATGAAATTTTCAGGAGGAAATGGAAAGAAAAATTCACATGGTGAAATTTAACTGTGAGGAGCGCTACCAACATTTATGCTTTCCTTTTTTACATGACTTTTTTTTATAGAGATGTGTTTTTACTTTTTGCTGTGAATTGTTCTCCCCCTTGTTTTATTGAGTTGTTGTTTGTGTTTCGGATGGGGACTGAAGTAATAACAGCAAATATAAAACAAGCACCCGAACACAGTTCTCAGCTTTATGGTCTGATTGTTACAGACAACGATTTGGGCGTTTTGAGGCACAGAGTTATTTGTCTATTCTTTTCGTTGTATTGCAACACGAAGTAAAGTTTTTATGGTTGGTGGCCTCACAGAGGGATGAGGGTGTTGTTTTTTTATTATGTTTTTGTGTTGAGTTTGAGGGTTTCTGGGAGAGAAATTTATTTGTTATCTTCTGTGTGTTGCACGCAAAGGTATGGAATGTTTCTTTGATGGCACCGGGTTTCATCTTCAGAAGCTGTCTTTGTGTGGTTTTTGTTGCTTTATTGTGTTTTGCCGCTTTTTTTGGCGGGTTCTTCGATCGTATTTTTGCTTTTTTTTCTCGCATATATTTCCCGCTTTTTTTTTTTTTTTTTTTTTTTTGTTGCTTTGTTTTGAGGGTGCTAGCTAGGAGAGAGACGATTTGTTGATATTAGCTGGAAAGGGAAGTAAAAAAGAGGGAATATAAGGCGCGGGTGAGAATCGAAAAAAGAGACACAAATAAGGGAAGATAAAGGATAGAGGAGATACTTTTTTCAAGCGGCTAGGAGAAAAGCGAGGCGCCAAAGAGAAGGAAGGGGAGAAGGAATTGTTCATCGACTTCATCTTTTTCATAAATACTATTTATTTACTGCCGTTACTTGCCGTTGGTATCGGTACCGGAGTTTCGTTCTCAATTCACGCGAAGGAAAATATATATATATATATATATTGTGTGTGTGTGTGTGGTGTACATCTCTATTTGCACTTGGCTACGAGACAAGCTAGGTGAGCAGCAGAGGAAGAGGAGGAAAAAAGAGGGTCACCAGCACTCCGTGAAGTGGCCGAAGAGGGGAAGAACGAGTCCTAAAGAAGAGTAAAAAAAGGACGGAAGGAAAGTATAATCGAAAATAAATTGATAGAGGGAATAAAAGAGGGGTGAAGGAAAGCAGCAGCAGGAAGGAAAAGGGGAAAATATACGTAAGATCATCAAGAAGGGGAGGACAGCTAGGTTTTTTTCTCTTTCCTTTCCTTTTTTTTTTTCTTTTTGAGTTCTTCGCGTATTATTATTATTATTAGTATTTTACTTGTCCGGCTCCGATAAAACCTTTTTTGGACAGCATTGTTCCGGCTGACACCAAAACAAATCAAAGGGGATTGTCAGCGTTTTATATTTTGTTTTATTGTGGTTTTACTTCGTGTGCTTCTTTGTAAACCACCCCTCGCTTAACCACTGAGTCAACTACCCGTGGCGGAGGTGAAGGGGGAAAAAGTGGAGGGACGACGGGCTCAAGACAGGAGTTCAATCATGGTACTTCTCAATACCCTCAAGAGGGATACGCCACAGCTACAGAATGGACAAACTGTAGCCTACGAATATCTTATTGACGATGAGCACTGGCAGTGGACACTTGGCACGGTGGTTTCGCTGAAGGAGTACACTGCCGTCGTGCAGCAGTGGAGCATCAATCAAGGCGACGACGCGGCACTGAAGAATATCGTTTCGAATGAGATTGAAAAGGAGATGAAAAGGATGAGGGTGTTCCAGGAGCGACTTTCGACCTCAAGAGATAAACTCGCTGCTATTCGCAGTGAAAACGAGGATAGCGTTTCCGCCGCAAGGTCTGTGTTTGAGGTGGCGAAGGAGCAGGTGAAGGCGGTTGATGAGGTGCACATGCGTGAAGTGACGTCTCAGGCTCGACCCTCCCCAGTAGCCGTAGAGGTTTTAAAGGCAGTGCTCGCGGTGGCCAAGAATGACCCCGCCATCAACGACTGCTTCTCATGGTACGACATCCAAATGGAATACAGAAAGCCAGGTGCTGTCATGGATTTCATTTATGTGGATGTCCCTGGACGGTACTATCCAACTCCTGACACCATTCTTTCTTCATTGCACGAGCCGCGTTTTTCTTTGGCAGCCGCTGCGCGAGATTCTGAAGCTATCAGGAGCCTTCACCAGTGGGTGATAAGCGCCCTGGCGTATCAAGAGGCACACAGCAGACTAACATCAGACATGCGCATACAAGCGCAAAATGATGCCATTGGCGCCGCCATTTCCGGGATGAAGGCGTGCCGTATGAAGGTCATGAAGCTGAAGGAGGAGTTGTCGCGCAGAAATTCCTCAGCCGCTAGGGGTCAAGTGACATCGTTTATTAAAACATCTGTGCATTCCACGATTCCTCTCTCGGCTGTTATTTCTGTGGTGCCTATTGATCCATCAGTAACGGATTGTGCGCTAACCGATGACGAGGTTGATGTTTTGTATGAGGATGCATCGTGGCTGCGCTTTCAACTTAAGGACCAGCTCTCTCGGACAATGAACGAGTATATTGGAGCCATGGCGGAGCTTCACTGCCTTTCGATGTACACCACTGAGCTCGAAGAAAAACGACTGTACCTGCAAGAACACTACACTCGCAATGTTATTCGTAGCCATGATAGAACAACCTTGAAGTTTCATGATCGTGACACCTCCGGAAAGAACAAGGAACTGCAAGACATTATTGATGACTTGAAGAAGCATGACGAGCGGTGGCTCTTTGCGGATGGTCTGAAGGTAACCACAAAACATGCCAAGAAATACCCCGGAAAAGACTGGGGGACACTGTTTAAGAATAAGCCGGAGGAAGTGCTGGCGAGGTTTAGGTTTGAACAAGCTCTTGCATGCCACGTTCCAGACGACTGTATTCAGAATGTCGAATTCCATCTCGAGCCCGATGCTCTTGTTACCTCGTTCAACGTCCGGCACTCTACGGAGCTGACCACAGGGGAGATTGATAGGCGTCTTGAACAATTCCCACCGCGTGAGATGAACCGCCTGTACCATGATCCCAATGGCGCCAAGGTGTCTCTTGACCGCGCAATTGTGGAAGTCTGCCGCGCACTTGACATTCCGGAGACGAAGTTTCAAGGACTGTACTTTGACGAGTTCGTCGAGGAGCTGGGAGGAAAGGGCCATCTTGTTGACAAGGATGCATATGAAAGCGAGATTGGCGATTTGCTTATGCTGCTGGACAAGATTCACAATGAGAACCGCTCGTTGCAGTGCACCCTGGAAAAATCAGCTGAGGAGTTCCGTCGGCAGACGGCATCAACGCTACGGGAGCAGGAAGCGTTACGGCAGCGAAACAATGAGCTTCATGCCGAAATTGGTCGAATGCGCGATTTGGTAGAGAAGTTGAAAGACCTTGCTGACAAACAGGCAAGTGAACTGGAGTTGTTTAAGTTGCAAAAGAACCAGGCAATTCAGATGCGCACCCAACGTAATCTGTCGACATTTAAGGGAGATAACACCGCGGAACCGCTTTACTGCGTGACTCTGGATGAGCTTCATGAACAGATGAAGCAGTGCGAGCTGCTCGAGAATGAGGCTGCACAGCTGCAGAAACAGCTGGAGGATCTTAATCAAACTCACGATAATCTCCTTGTCCATTTGAATACAATAACACAAGGGAAAAAGGGCGTGGAGACCGAGAATGAGCAGCTTAAAGATGAACTACAAATAGCACAGAAGGCAGCGAGCGACGCCGCACAGGAACGCTCGGAACTCCTTCATGAGTTAGCACGAAAGAGGGCAGAATGCGAAGAGTTAGCGAAAAATTTACGTCGGATAAGTGACCTATTAGACGCTCTCAAAACCTCTGAGAAGGAGGCGCTAGAAGGCATCGAAGCGCGTGATGAAGAGATCCATGACCTTCAAAAGCAACTTGAGGATGCACTGAATAATCAAAATGTTGGTGCTCGTGCGCTTGAGTTGAAAGAACGACAAAACGAAGAACTTATGGAAATAAATCAAAGAAAGCAAAAAGAACTAAACGCTCATCGACAAAAACGCCGCACCGCTCATGAAGCAAGGTCACTGGAGCCCACGCTTCAGCTTTATACGGTAAAAGACGCGGGTCCCGAGAATGCCCTGGACCCAGAAGAAATTATGAGGGAACCCCTACTTTCTATCACAATGGACGAATATACAAATCAGATACAACGGAGCAACCAGCTCCAACAAGAAAACGATACTCTTCGCCAGCAGCTACAACAACTCAGTGACGATATGGAAACAATTAACAGCCAGCTAAGAGAAGCAGCAGCAGATAATCAGAACCTCAGCGATCAACTTCGTGCCAAATACGAAGAAATTGTAAAAGCAAACAACACAATCCAAAGTCTCTACCGGCAACATGAAACACAAGAAAACGAGCTTCAAAACAAAAGCATAGAGAACGCAAAACAAGCTGAGGAGCTTGAAAAGCTTACCATCGAAAACGAAAAGCTTGCCGATGAGCTCGAAAAGCTAGCCACCGATAACGAGAAGCTGGCGGATGAGCTTGAGCAGAAGGCAGCGGAGAATGAGAGGCTGGCGGATGAGCTTGAGCAGAAGGCAGCGGAGAATGAGAGGCTGGCGGATGAGCTTGAGCAGAAGGCAGCGGAGAATGAGAGGCTGGCGGATGAGCTTGAGCAGAAGGCAGCGGAGAATGAGAGGCTGGCGGATGAGCTTGAGCAGAAGGCAGCGGAGAATGAGAGGCTGGCGGATGAGCTTGAGCAGAAGACAGCGGAGAATGAGAGGCTGGCGGATGAGCTTGAGCAGAAGGCAGCGGAGAATGAGAGGCTGGCGGATGAGCTTGAGCAGAAGGCAGCGGAGAATGAGAGGCTGGCGGATGAGCTTGAGCAGAAGACAGCGGAGAATGAGAGGCTGGCGGATGAGCTTGAGCAGAAGGCAGCGGAGAATGAGAGGCTGGCGGAGGAGCTTGAGCAGAAGGCAGCGGAGAATGAGAAGCTGGCGGATGAGCTTGAGCAGAAGGCAGCTGAGAATGAGAGGCTGGCGGATGAGCTTGAGCAGAAGGCAGCGGAGAATGAGAGGCTGGCGGATGAGCTTGAGCAGAAGGCAGCGGAGAATGAGAAGCTGGCGGATGAGCTTGAGCAGAAGGCAGCTGAGAATGAGAGGCTGGCGGATGAGCTTGAGCAGAAGGCAGTGGAGAATGAGAAGCTGGCGGATGAGCTTGAGCAGAAGGCAGCGGAGAATGAGAGGCTGGCGGATGAGCTTGAGCAGAAGGCAGCGGAGAATGAGAGGCTGGCGGATGAGCTTGAGCAGAAGGCAGCTGAGAATGAGAAGCTGGCGGATGAGCTTGAGCAGAAGGCAGCGGAGAATGAGAAGCTGGCGGATGAGCTTGAGCAGAAGGCAGCTGAGAATGAGAGGCTGGCGGATGAGCTTGAGCAGAAGGCAGCGGAGAATGAGAGGCTGGCGGATGAGCTTGAGCAGAAGGCAGCGGAGAATGAGAAGCTGGCGGATGAGCTTGAGCAGAAGGCAGCGGAGAATGAGAGGCTGGCGGATGAGCTTGAGCAGAAGGCAGCTGAGAATGAGAGGCTGGCGGATGAGCTTGAGCAGAAGGCAGCTGAGAATGAGAGGCTGGCGGAGGAGCTTGAGCAGAAGGCAGCTGAGAATGAGAGGCTGGCGGATGAGCTTGAGCAGAAGGCAGCGGAGAATGAGAGGCTGGCGGATGAGCTTGAGCAGAAGACAGCGGAGAATGAGAGGCTGGCGGAGGAGCTTGAGCAGAAGGCAGCTGAGAATGAGAGGCTGGTAGATGATAAAAAGCGTTTGGAGGAGGAGTTGGAGCGGAATGTGTTGGAAAGGGAAAGAATTGAATCGGAGTGTAGGTCGAGGGAGTTGGTTGTTGGTGGGCTGGAATCTAAATCTCGTGAGTTGGAAGAGGCACTTGTAGCTTTATCTGCCGAAAAGTATAATGCTGTTGAAACAATTGAGAAGGAATTAACCGATATTTTGGTACAACTAAAGGGAGTTGAGGGGGTGAATGGTGCTCTGAGGCGTCTTTTGTCGGATAAGGAGAAGGAGTTGGTGTTTTTGAGGGCGCACTGTGAGTTGTGGACGGACCCAACGGAGGTAAAGGAGAAGGTGGTTACGCGACACGTAAAGGTTTTCGACGGTGATGAATGGGAGAAATTACTGTGTGAGAGACCTGAGGCACTCATGGCCGCCTTTGTCATTGATGCCGGTAATGCATGTCATGTGCCTGGGGATCAGGTTTCTGCAGTCTCGTTTTTTACTGAACGCCAATGAGTGTAACCAAACCGAAGGGGATGTGAGATGCAAAATGTAGTTTTATGGGTCCTCACTTTGTGGCAAATGCGTCATAGAGGGGAAACAAGGGAAGCAATGGGTATGTTGTAATAGTTGCTTGCGAAGTTTGTAACCGTTTTTTAAAATTTATTTTGAGGAGGGTGTGAGTGTTGGTTTGCCATTGGTTGAACTTTTTTTTCGTAAGCAGCTGCTGTATATAGTTGTAGTTATAGCAGAGTGTACTTTTACAGATTTTTGTTCCGTTTTTGTTTCTTATTATTATGTTTTACCAGTCTCACACCGTGGATGTTTTTTTCTCTTACGGCTCGTTTCAGTTTTATTCTCTTCTGGGAGTTCTGAAAGGCGCGGTGTGATTCATACGACGTTGGGGACAGCCTGAAATAAAATTGGAGTTTGTTTTTAACGGAGTTGTCCGCGAATGCTGCTTTGACGTTCCTACTTCTTCTCGGGTGTTTGGTTTTGCTAAGCGAATAATTTTTTTGAACCTTCTTTGTATTTCTTGTTTCTTAAGGCTATTGGGTATGTTTGTCGGTCGTTGGGTTTATAATAAGGGGCAAACTGTTGGTTGCCTTAGTCATTTAGCGCCGCGACAGAAGCGTGACGACAACGAGGCTGACGCTGTAGCAAATACTTTGTATGGCTGCGTACTCTTCCTCAAGGACGATGTCGTAAACTGTTTTGGTGGTGGAGGTGGTGAAATTGTTTCTGTGGCTACTGAGGGAGATCTTATGAATACCGTTTTGCAGTGGGCGCGTGGAGGGCGGGGTCTCTGTGGCGAAGTTCCAGAAGTTCCTGCACCTAGGGCCTCTTTGCCCTTTTATTCTACGTCCTCTGGTCCGTGGTTCGTAATAGAACGGTGCGTGGGGGATCCGTGTAGCTTTGGTGTCATTGCGGGATTTGTTTGTCGCCGCGTCCACAACGGAGATGATGTTGATGGTGTTGGCGGTTGTAACCCAGATCAGGAGAGTTGTGGGAATGGTTTTTTATGGGAGTGGGGGGAGCTGATCAACTGCACCACCATCTCACAGCTTTCGCTCTATTTGGACTCACTGCCACTCAAGAGCGTGAAGGAGACATAGGCCTTTTGCTTAGCTTATCACTCTCCATTACTCTCATTCATTTGTTGTCCTCGGGAAGATGATAAATTGTCTTTCCTATAATTTGATGGCTCTCCTCACTCCCGCAAATATTGCTTTTATTTTTATTCCTCACCCGGTTATCAGTGTTTTTTTTTCCCCTTTTGTTAACCGTGAGAGGGGGAGTGAATTTTGTTCACCGCCATTTTTCCAAGTGCGCCAAAAACTGGTAGGGTTGGAGGGGATGCCCAGCAAGCGTCTTGTGCGGCATGGTGCTCGGGGCTCGCAACAGGTGCACATGAACAAGGTGAAGTTTGATCCCTATCGCTTCAAGGTAAATGACCAGAAGCTCCCACCGGTTGTTTTAGCGTTCATGACTAGTTTATGCTGTCGACGCTGCTGCGACATTTTGCAGTGGAAAGTGGATTATGGCAAGTACATTCCTCTGGAACGTCAGCGGAAGTGCAACTGCTGTCAAGAAAGGACTGTGACCATCGCTTATCATCATATCTGCCAGCGGTGCGCGACGGAAAGGGCACGTTGTGCAAAGTGCCAGAAACCCCCGACACTGGGGAATTCAATGACGGGCACAGAAAATAGAGGTGATGACACGAACGCCGAAGGCAACGCTAATGCAGATATCAGGGAGCAGGAGGAAGAAGAGGAAGAGGATGAGGCTGCAGAAGCCATGTCGGCAGGAATGCCAAAAGGCGAGTTGTCAGGTAAATACGTCTTTGTGGACCAAGAGGACTCGGATGAGGAGTTCTGGCCACTGCGAGGATTAGACATCCGACAGCTGAAGCAGCGGAAGAAGGAATTAGCAAGGTTGCAAGAAAAGGATCGTGTTTGTCGCTTGCGTGAACGTGAGCGACGAACAGTATTGCGAGGAGCTTTAAGGGACCCTGGGGCTGACGAGGGAGCGGATGACAGCGACGAGGAAATCTGAGAGAATGAGCGTGCTGAGAACCCAAATGCCGAGGAAGGGGAAATAATGAGTAAATACTTCCAAACATTAAAATAAACTGGTCGATTAAAATTCATTTTGTTTTGCATGCGTGGGGGATTGAGAGTGAGAGTGCAATTTATACGTATTTCTCCTTCTCTGTGTGTACCTCCATTACAGCTTTCTGTCGTTCTGCCGATGCTTCACGTGTGCGATGGTTATTTTTACTTTTTTTTTGCTTGGCGTGTTTTCTGATTTTATTATATATATATATATATATATATATATTTCTGCACGAAAGACGCGGGGAGGGAAGCGACATTCAATATATATATATTTTTTCTTCCTGGATTGCTTGGGATCCATGAACGTGGGCGCCCCAACGGCGGGTGGCCCATCGCTCTCTTTTCAGCTTCTGCTGTACGGTTCTGCTGGTTGGAGCGGCATCTGGTTCGTCGTGACGCTGGGGCTCCTCATCTA